TACAAGTAGAAGAAAAGTTAGTATGGTGATTTCAGATAACACAGGAGCTAGAACCCACCTGCTTCTTTTAAATCAGCTGTGTGGGAACATTTCGGGTTTAGGGCTGCAACAAACGACTAATTTGATAATCGATAATGAAACGATTAATCGACTATGCGGACTATTATGCCTTGCACAATTTCTCAAACGCTCTTATTTAGCCATCAACTTTTAGATTTAGCTTGAGGTTGTTTTAGGCATGTGGAAACTAACAATGAAGACAATAAAGATGAATACTTGATTTAAAAATACATATATTATTAAATTAACGAAACACATTTTGAACAAAATTAACATTGCTTTTTATTTAAATTAAATAAATAATATTTCAGATCAAAAGAAACAACAGTGTTTTAACAAATCGTATTAAACAATGTGATAACAGAACTGTAAACAGAATAGCTGAAACTTTAACAAAATAAATAACTCAGTTACCTCTAATCATTAACCCATGTTTGTATAATGAAGTTAACTCCGTGTGTTGCTGCTAGCATACATAACACCTAACGTGGAAACGTTACTTGTGGATGGGGCGCTACTAGAAAGACAGTCAAACCCGATGCATTTCTCCGTCTGAATGTGGTGCACTTTTGCTAAATGTTTAGACAAATTGCTCGTGTTACTGCCCTTACATGCTAAACTCTTATTGCACTTTTGGCAACGAGCATTGTCCACATCGAGACGGGTAAAGCTTAACCACACCTCGGAGCGCGTTCACTCCGCCATCTATGTGTGTTGCTGCATGTAGCAGCTGTGTATGTGTAAACTGCCCCGCCCCCTCGCACACAGACCGGGGAGAGAGATCTCGTCTGATCGAAAATACATCATAGACGCATTTATTTGTCTTTTTGCATATTAGAAACGAGTTGGCGACACTAAGACTGCGATATAATGTTTTTGTAGCAACAATACATGACATATACCGATAAAAAGACCAATAACGTTGGAGCTTAACGGCGCGTAAAACACGTGATGACGTCACCAACGAATCGACGACTGAATTAGTTGGCAACTAATTTGGTAATCGATTTTAATCGATTAAGTTGATTAGTTGTTGCACCCCTATTTCAGCCGATCTTCCGTTAAAATATGCAACTAAGATATAGGTTTAAGAAACAGTTGAAGATTGATTTGTACGTGATTCTTTATTTAGTAAACTCACTTTTCATGTGGTATTCCTGATAATGCTGCAATATGGACCAGAAATCCGTGTCAAAATCTGCAGCTGGTAATGTTAGCTGTTAGCATTCGTTGGGCAGCACAGTCCTGCCTGGCTAAAAAAAAACGAGCTTTGAGCTAATATTGGGTAACAATATGATGCTCAATTCAGTAAACATGTTGGAGAAAGAAATCTTGTAAAAATGTGTATGTTAGTAAGGAAGTACAGTTGTTTCACAGCAGTATAAACCAGATATTAGAATATATTATGAACTGTGTAACTACCTTACTTGCTCTTAGCAGCTTATAATACATAAATCTAACTCTTTTTTAACCAAAGCAAATATTCAAATGGAAAAAAAAACATTTCGTATCATTTCAATAGTTTTTTTTGCGAAAATAGCTATAGATGACACTGACAAAAATGACATGTCCCAAAGGCATTACTATATACATGAGTGTTTATAAAAAGTATAGTGGAGTGCTGAAAGTTTGCAACCATAACCATGTATACCAGCTTACATAAAAATAACAATAAGAAAATGATTGGTAAATCAGCAAAACAGCGTCATCCGGAAAAAAACACGATTGGTGAATCTCTCATTTAAGTGGCACCGAATGCTAATAAGAGTTTGACTTCCCAAATATTATATATCAATCGGAAATCACAGAGCAATGTAATGTTTATTAAGCTAATGTACCAGATTTAAACCTCTGTAATTATGATACACACAGACCTGCAAAAAGACGGTGGAGTGTGTCTACTGTCACAAAATCGCGACGGTGTCCTCCACCATCATGGAAAGAGACCAAAAGGGCAAAGTCCAGCTTTACTGTTCGTCTTCATGTGTTGAGCTGAGTCGACCCCCCCAACACATTCTCACTGGTAGGACACAGACACACAACCACATGTATTAAAGGGGCCCTATCATGCTTTTGGGGTTTTCCCTTTCCTGTAGGGTGTTGTATATGTTTTTGTGCAGGTAAATGGTCTGCATGGCTCAAATCCCTGTGTTCCCTCTAAAGGGAGTTTGTCTCCCCCACATAGTAACATCATTATGTAACACTTGCGCTTCTAGTGGCTTAGGGCTCCAACACACACTGTACATTATAGGCTAAAGGGTGGGACATCTCTAAGCAGTTGACTAATCACAACAGCTAACCAATCAGAGCAGACTGGGCTCTGGTTTCAGACAGAGGTTGAAAATAGGTGGTGCAGCACAGGCAGTATGAGAAAAATAAAGAGCTTTTTGAACATTAAAGAATGGAGACATGTCACAGTAGAGACACAACATACAAATATGAACCTGAAAATGAGTATAATGGGGCCCCTTTAAATGTATAACAGGTGGCTCATTACTTTTCTTTAATGAATAGGGTTTAATCTTATTTTACAGTGTGTAGCTTCAAGCACCTCCAAAGCATGGAAAAGGGAAAGCATGTTTCATTATTAGTTAAAACACAAACTACATAGCATTTTTTTATTTAATTTTTTACGTTATCTTTTTCCCTTAGGTGCTGCGTTCCCCTGCTGCGAGTGCAACGTGTCGGCTGTTCCTCAGTATCACCTGGCCATGGTGGACGGAACCATCCGCAACTTCTGCTCCTACGACTGCGTTTCTATCTATAGGGTAAGAACAGTTTTGTTTCTAATCATGGAGCATGTGTTGGTTTTGTAGATTTGACATAGGTGTAATTTTCCCCTACATGTCTCCACAGAAGTCCGGTAACACCTCTCAGCCAGACCTGACCAATGGAACCCCCGCTCTCAGGGACCCCAAAGCAGGACCCTCTGCCGGGGCCAGCTCAGTCCCTCCCCTCCCTCAGGACCACCCGTCTTCTGTAGCCTTCCCGGGCCACCATCCCAGTCATACCTCAGTGCCCCCGCTCGAGCCTCCCTCCCAGGTCCCCGCCAAAACGCCTGCTGTTCAGCCTATGAAACCAGCAGAAGGGGGGCCCAAGGAAATATCCAAGTTGACCTGCCATCAGTGCAGCAAAGAGTTCAGCATAAAGCCGCTGCTGTTCAGTCACCAGGTAAGGAGCCCAGATCACATATTATGACTGCTGCTGAGTTGTCCAAAAAACAGATCAAAATGTCTTTTCCTGACAATTTCTCTTTAACCTTCGAGAAAATCGTCAAGGGTTTGAAGCAAAATGTGAAGGAGAAATTATTAGGACTGAGGTAGAATCAATGTGCCTCAGCGAAAACCTCTAAAACTACAAAATTCAGTAGATGAACAACTAAAAGTGCATCTCGATACTTTTTTGTTTGATGTGTGCTTTATAAACTTTGACAACAGTGAGAAATATATCAACTCATTAGCAGGGTTTGAATTCAAATTAAAGAAATTAAAGGGAAACTATATGATTGCTCGCGCTCAACCTCCTGTCAACTAATTTAAATCAACATGAATCCCATTAGTATGAGCGCATTTAGATATTTGAATACTGAAAAATGTACGCATTATGCATAGCCTGTACGGCAGGGGTCGGCAAATAAGTTTTACTTATTTATTTTTATCGGAATTCTTTTCTCTGAGCCACTAGATGGCGGGCCGGAACATAATCAAAGGCGTTCAAATGACAATCACATTTCCATGCTCACCCCAGGGCTGGGAGATGGGGTTACAAGTCTCGCGTCTTGTGCTGCATTCACTTGCACTCGGACATTAAGTAGACCCTCCAGAAAAACGCGATTCTGCGATCGCAGAATTTACCGCATAATCAGCAAAATGGCGCAGATTTTTAAAAAGCCGCATATTTATCAAAAGGCCGCATAATCCCCGCATTTTTCCACACAAAGTTGAGAAGAAAAAAAAGTTAACTCGTCGTGACGTCATCAGCTCGCGCATCACAGAATGTAAACAACACTGTATAGAGCTCATTTAGCAACGAACATTTCTACTAAAGACCGGGCAAAAAGTGGGGGGAAACTATTCTGCACCCCGTGCAACTGTGTGTTGCAGCATAAGAGAAAATCGACGGTGGCGACCCACTTTGATTCATTCAAACATTCGAAAATGCTTTCTGCTGCTGCGGACAAGAAAGCCATTCAACTCCCGTTCACCGAGGGATCAACCTCCAAAACCCTTTCGAGGGCTACAATAAACGAAGTGAGTAGCCTACAAGATTGAAGCTGGTCAGATAACGAACGAGTAAATGAATACAGAATGAGGCGGAGAAGTGTGTGTGGGGGGGGGGTGTGTGTGTGTGTGTGAGATTAAAATAGCCCAATTGCTTTTACAATAAATAAACATTGAATGTGTTTAATTGAATAGTAAAGGGGTTTAACGTTAGTGGTAGGTTGTGTGTGAGAGAGAATAAATAAGACAGCCCAATATTTAAAAAAATTGTTATTCTTTTCCCCCGCATATTTAGCATATTTCGCAACTTTCCG